TGTAGGGAAGGCCAATGGGTTGGTAGTGATGCAGTGCGTTAAAGTTTCAAGAGCATTTTTACTGGGAGTTAGTATTTTTGAAACTTGTGCAGAAATAAAAATGAAGGAGAGAGAAAATAGGAGCCGGGAAGAGAAAATAAAGGAGTCGGCGAGGTCTTTCTCCTCCACCGCCTAGCGTACAACTTTTCCCCGATGGCTACACGTATTTCAAAGAGACACATTTCTATGGCCATCAATAGCTTTAATTAATATGTGTATCCTTGCGAGGGAGTTTAGAGTATTTTTTATTTTAAATAATATTTTTAATATATAATGAAAAAATTTTAAAAAATAAAACTTTAAAATAGATGGGACCACATTTACGGACGGTTGCCTCAATTAATGAAGGAGCACGTGCTGCTGGTTACTGTCGCAAACCACCACCACCACCACCGATAAAAATCTATCTTGCCAGAGGCCCAGAGCTGACATTAAACGACAACAAAGGTTCTGTCTAGCATAATAATTTATTAATTTCCACACATTTCGGTATTTTTTTTATTCACCATCAACTTATATATATTTTAATTAATTATTATATACTTTTAAATTAATAATTAAATAAACTTTGAATGCTCGTTTATATTGACAATTACAGGTCTGAAATCCAAAACCACAAAAAAAAAAAAATCCCAAACTATTATCACTGAACATTTACCAAATGGTTGAATTCGGTATTTTATTCCTATGAGATTTAAGCTCCACACATTAAAAGAGAACAAAGGAGAAAGCAATTACTTAAAACTGACTTGATTATAGAGTATTTAATATTGTAGACTAGATTTTAAAATCATTTTATGGGTGTTGTACCATGTTTCCCTAACAAATTTAACACAATTAATATCTAGACATGTTTAAGGAAAAAAGTGGACAAGGATCATAATAAAAATATTTTTAATAGTATTATCTTGTGACACATTATAATAAGAAAAGTATAAAATAAAATAAAATCAATTAAAAATTATTTTGTGCTCAATGCATGGTAAAAAAGTTCATTATTGAAATTCATGTCTAAATAGAAAATGATGCATCGCGAGTTCACAGCAACATTACAAAAGCTTATGGAGTGTCCTTGAAAGAAACTTTAATAAATAAATAAATAACTTATTGCGCCTGGAAAATAATGGGCTCTAATGATAATATATGGCTAACCAAGCTATCCAGTGATTGGCATGAAGAGCCTCCTTGGCTGAGACAAAGTTTTGCCTTCTCCTTCAAACTCAAGATCCCTTTTCTGATAGCTTCACCTTCTTCATCCACTAATAACCGGTTGATGGTACTTTCGATCTTCGCTCTCTCCAGCCCATTCTCTAGTTGCATCCCAACTCTCCACACATCACTTACATATCTTGCATTAGCCATTTGGTCAGTGAAACAAGGCATACATATCATAGGAACCCCTTCACAGATACTCTCCAATGTCGAGTTCCACCCGTTGTGAGTCCAAAATGCACCAACGGCAGGATGAGCTAGCACTTCTGATTGCGGAGCCCATTTTACAATGTGCGCTCTTCCATTCAAATCCTCAAGGAACCCATTAGGCAGTGGCTCGAGCCATTCCGCGCCACGGACTAATCCAGGTCTAACTACCCACAAGAAGGGCTGCTTGCTGTTGGCTAAACCCCAGGCCACCTCCAAGAACTCGGTTTCATTTAATGCAGCAACACTTCCAAAACTCACATATACTACAGATTTCGGGGCTTGTTTGTCTAGCCAGGAAATCGAGCTTTGATCTTGTGTAAGCAGACTACTTGAAGAGGATGGGAAGCGGTTGTGAAATGGGCCAATTGGAAAGATCGGAATGGGAAATTCATGGCGCAGTGCAGCTAAGGCAGACTGTTCAAGCTCTTCGAACGTGTTCCAAATGGCTCCCGAAGATGCCTTAGTTCCATCTGTCATGCTAACTATCAAATCGTATACAGATTCTGGGTCACGCGAGTTGATCACTGGAAGGTCTTTGACTTTAAGTGGTGGAAGCTCTACCATTGGATCTTCCAACCGAGATTCTGATGTTTAAAACGACAGGGACTGTAAAGTACAATATATATAGAGCTATGGTTGGAACTTAGAAGCACTGAAGACTTAAAAAGAAGGCCCATAACAGCATATTACATAAGAAAGACAACCAAAATAACACCCAGATGAACCTGAATCAATCAACAGATCCAACACAAATGGCTACCGTAAGAAAAGGATATAAGAGTTCCCGCTGCCAAATTACGTGTCCGACTCAATCAACAATTACCACACATTGTATAAAACACAGAAACAAGATACGCATTGGAACCAGCTAGAACCCCATAAGTTGCAGAGACAATGCCCTAAAAGTCGCGGTAGTAACTTAAAAGAAGAAAATAGATATGTCAAAGTAACATATCACAGTGAGTGAGTTTAATTCAGCCTTTCATAGATTCAAAATCCGTATCTGATGGAGTAACCTACCGGAAGAGAAAGTGAAAAAAATTACCTTGTATTGGAAGATACCCCTTTTCTTTCAGAAATGGCAAGGCAGTAAAAATACGAAAAGAGGAAGCACCACCGGTCCTTAAAACTATCCTTGGAAGTTTAAGACCTTCGGAAACTGCAGTTGTGAAGTGGAAGATGGCATCTGAGATCAAGCAAGCAATAGGGTCCTCTGAAACATCAGATAGCAACTTGGACACGCAATCTCTAAAAGGGGCAACGCATTTGATGTTAAGAGATGAAACTAGAGCTATTATATCTGCGGTTGAGGCTTCAGTTTCAGTTAACTCTTCTTGAATGGAATGGAAGGTGAAGTGAGGATACTTCGAAGGATCTGGAGAGTTGAAGGTTGTGTGGATTATAGTAATGGAGAAGCCTTTGGAGTGGAGAATGTTTGCAAGTTGAATCATGGGGTTAACGTGGCCTTGTAGTGGTAATGGGAAAAGAACCAATCTGCGGCCATTTCTTTGATCAACTTGGATGTCGGTACCTGAGTTCTTCATGTTGCAGCTGCTTCTTGCAGCCAGGAACTTGGGTCTCCTCTTTTTATTTCCTTGAAATTTATAAAATTTGAATAATTAAGCGAATAGCTGGACTACCGTACTGGATATGTGCTTAGTAAAACACCCACCTTAATTTATAAAAAAACGTGTGTGTGTGTTTGGTAGTGTCCCTGCCCAACTAATGCAATGGGTAAATAGTTTTAACCATGGTTGGTAAATTAAATTTCGCTCTAAAAGACTTCTTGTTTTTTTATCAATTAATAGTTTTTTTTATTTTTTAAAATATTTTTTATTGAAAAATACATTAAAATAATACAATTTTAATTTTTTTTAAAATTTATTTTTAATATCGAAGTATGAAAATAAAAAAATAATTTAAAATAAAAATAAAATATTTTTTAAAACAAAAAAAACAAATATGCTATAACGATTTCAATACTAAAAATTTGTTAAGTATTTTTACAATATTAAGATTATTTTTAATGAGAAATGTTATTTTAAAAAGATAAATAAATAAAATAACATTTTAAATAGTGTAAATATAACTTTTTTTTATTATATATATTCTAAAAAAAACATTTGAAAATTCAATTCTATTAAAGTAGAATAAATAAGTATTTTAATTTTTTAATGATTTTAATATTATTTTTTTATATAGCTAGATTTAATTGGTTTATTTTTTTGTTGGTTCCACGTTGTTAGTTTTGATTTTTTTTAAAAATATGTAAAAATAGTATTTATAAAAAAACATTTTAATATTTTGTTTTGGCTAAAAATAAATAAATAAAAATTAATTTTTTTTTAAAAAAAACTATTCATTTAACTCTGACATCAAGCCATATTTGTCGGCAGATAAAAAAACAAAAACAGCAGTAGGAATAGAAAATTATATTTTGGACATTCAATTATCCAAGTAAATAAAATAATAATAAATAATAATCGCCAATTCTCTGGTTCCGGGGAAGAGCTGCATTGTGCTATTGTGCAAATTTTCAAAAAAGAAAAAAAAGAATTTTCAAGATTATCTTTCATGAAAGAATTAACATTCCATTTTGCCACCTAATTAACAATTTTCATATAAAAATATAGATTAAAAAGAAACTGCACATACTTTTTTTTTAGATTAATGTGGGTGTTCGGGCCAGCTTACGCGTACCACGACTCATAACAGTGCATACTTGCTCTCACTATGTAGTTGGATAGGTCGTCGTGTTCTTTTTTTTCAAGTGACACGCTTATTCACGGCTATTGGGCGGTATCTCACCGATCAAATTTTTTTTTTCTCCTTCTAAAAAAATACAAGCTGGTCCTTTACATTCTTATTATTTTAATTTTAATCTCTATTCTTTTAATTTTTAATTTTTATCTTTAATTTTTTTTGTTAGAGTTTCATTTAGTTTTAAATTAATCCTCAATTCTGATTTCTCGTATATAATATTTTTTAATTTGATAATGTTTCTTTCAATTTTTTTCTTTACCATTTTTGGTTTTCAATACATCATTCTATTCAATTATTTTTTATTTTCAATTTAACTCCATGATCAAAAAATCATTCTCACCCTCAAATTTATTTTTATTTTTATTTTTATTTTTATTCTTGTTATTTTAATTATTTTTTATTTTAAATCATTTTATGTAATTGATTTTTTTTAAATTAATTTTATCATTTTACATTTGATTTATCATGAATTGTACTTCTCATTTTTCCCATGTATAATGCTTGTGATCTCGTGACTTATCACATGTTTTAAAAAGTTATTTTTCATATAGTTTTCAAACTTGATCTGTAGGCCAGCCTATAACAAGTCCTCAATCACAGATCAGCTGAGATGATCTAAATTAACTCAATTTTTTTATATTAAAATAATATCATTTTAAAAATAAAAATTAATAAAGATCAACGGGTTTTCAATGGCTAATTGGGTTGTGGGTCAATCTGGTTTTTTGACTGAATTATATTAAGCCAACTCTCTCAGTATTCTTATAAAAAACTACCCCAGTCTAGACTCTAGATCACCCTAGTTACGAGTCAAACTGATGAGTCAAGTTAAGTTTTAAAATAATGATCTTTTGGGTTTTTTTGATTTCATTAAAAAGAATTGCTGGTTAACTCGAGTTGGTTTACCTTGTATGATCTAGGTTATATATTTATTATTGAATCTCGAGTTTAATATATCAAAATCTTTTTATTTTTTTATTCAATCATATATTTTCAAAGATTATTTATAAAAGTCATATTGATCTTATCACAACTTATCATGATTATTTTTTTAAAATAGTTTATTTATTATTATTATTAATTTTTTATCATCCTTATAACAAAATAATTTTAATTTTTTTAATAGTATAATCTAATTTTTTTTATTTTTTGGAAATGTATGCCTGCATCTAAACGATGTTGTTGTTTTTTAAAAAAAAAAACAGTACGACCCCCTACGTATCGCTTTCTTATAGCTAGTTTTAGCCCCGATCCTCATCTTGTTGGTTTAGTTTTCTCTCATATCCTTCTTCCAATTAAATCTTAGCCGCAGAAATTGAAATTTCTGGTTCGGCCTCTCGAAAGCAAATGAAATTAATCCTTGCCAGCCAAAACTCTGCAGGAGGCGATAGAAGCTTGGAGACAACTGCATTTTATGCATTCCATCCCACACCGCATCTTCACTTTAACTAGTTATTAGCGCACACGTCACCTATAGGATCCATTTATCCTATACGACCAACTAGTGGAGCCTACGGGAAATACATTTACCATTAACCCATCCATTGATCGAAGTTCAAAGATGTTTCTAGCACAAGACTACCCTTCATTGTACCCAAAAAGTCCTCCAATGGGCGACGATCCTTCAGGCCTTTACTAGATGAATGAATATTGCCTGCACATCTACACCTGGCCACTTCGAGAAAAATCGCCAGTCTCCATCTTCTATTCCTTATCGTGAAGCCCCGCGAACTCTCCATAAGACACAGCATGCTAACATCATAGGACATACCCATCTATAAATTCCTTTCTCGCATCGCCTCCAATTCGCACCAAGGAAAAGAAATACAAACAAGCAGCTCTAGTTCAACAATTAGCTAGTTTTCACTTTGCACACCTTATTTTCTCAAACAAGAAACCAAGAAAATGTCTCTTATCCCAAGCACCCTCTTTGGTGGCCGAAGAAGTAACATCTTTGATCCTTTCTCTCTTGACATTTGGGACCCTTTCCAGGACTTTCCCTTCACTAGCACAGCCATATCAGCCCCACGATCAGAGTCCGCCAACGAAACAACGGCATTCGTCAACACACGCATAGACTGGAAGGAGACCCCCGAGGCTCACGTTTTCAAGGCTGATCTCCCAGGCCTGAAGAAAGAGGAAGTCAAAGTGGAGTTAGATGAAGGTAGGGTTTTGCAAATAAGTGGAGAGAGGAGCAAAGAGAGAGAAGAGAAAAATGACAAGTGGCACAGAGTGGAGAGGTCAAGTGGGAAGTTCTTGAGGAGATTCAGGTTGCCTGAGAATGCAAAACTTGATCAAGTTAAGGCTAATATGGAAAACGGGGTCTTGACTGTGACTGTGCCTAAAGAGGAAGTCAAAAAACCTGATGTTAAGGCCATCGAGATCACCGGCTGAGACTCCACATTATATCAAGGGACCTTCGGCGGCGTGTTGCTGTGAGTCATGATAAGATTCTAATAAAGAAGTAGAGTTGTGTGTCGAAGACTTCTGAAATGGGATAATGTCATGTGTGCATGCATGGGTTTGGTTTTGTTTGGTGTGGTTTTGTTTTGTTTTGTTTGATGTTGTGATTCTGAGTTTCTGTGTTAATAAAGTTGTGTGGTGTTGTTAAATCTTCATTCTTCCGTTTTACCTTTTTTTTTTCCTTCCCTTAATTACTACGGTTTTATATTTTCCTCGATATTCAATATTTATTTATAATTTTGATATTGTTCCTTTTCTGTCTTCTGAATGCCACAAAATATCGAGGTTTCATTCCTCAATAATATCATATAAGCATGATGGATGATGCATATGACAACACCACCTTATTCTTCGTCTGAAAACTCCAAGTGCCCGGAAGCTCTTGGGCTGATGTTTTGCTTTAGATTAAGTCTCTCTCGTGGGCTATAAGGCCTATCCATACAAACGTGGTCCATAAGGCCAGCTACTATTTCGAAATTGTAAGGCTGAACTCTCGGGTGATATCAGAATCACAAAATAAGATTTTAGCCTGTTAATACGACCCCGGATCCAATGCAAACTCGGTTAGTACCTGGCATCAGACTAGCATGCATAAGCGCCCCTGCTATTGATACAATTAATCTCCGGTTTTTTTCCGCCATTTTCAGCCGATTATCCTAAAATGATCTCCCGATTAATTTCTGAGTGAATACCGATTAATATCCACCCTTTCTGAAAAGATCGGGGATTTGTTGTTGTTGCGGTCACATAATCGCCCTGGTTAATTTGTTGTTGGCGGATTTATGGGCACCATTTTTGGCTATTAGCCTATTAATTGCCATTCTTTCTTAAAGGATCGCCGATTCACTGTAGTCAAATCAAATAATCACTCTACTTATTTGTCTGATCGCCGATTATTTTCACAATTAATCTCGGAGTATTTTTCCTGGTCGCTGATCTTTATACAGCCCAAAATTAGTTATCCTGGGTCCATCTACTAAGCCCTGTTCGCCTTCGCCATCGCCATCGCCATCGCCATCACTGGCCGGTCTGCCACGGACATTACCAGAAGTGGCGTCAACCCAAAACTATCATAAATCAATCAGCCTAATTTGAGGATAAAAAACAAGACAGAGTGGAGTAGATACAATATTCGAAAAATTCAGAAGTCCGTAACAACCATCTTGCAATTGATCTAGACCCACGAGGCAAATTTTATTAATTATGTAACCTTACGAGTTATTTCCAGCAAACCCACCTGTCAAATTTTCTATTAAGACCAACTTAAATAATAGCATGTTTTGGAATCTGAAAAATATTATTTTTGAAAATATTTTTATTAGAAATGTATTAAATTAATATTTTTATTTATTTTTTAAAGTTAATTTTTAATACCATCACATCAAAACATTAAAAAATTAATTTAAAATAAAAATAATTAATAAAAAACCAGTTGAACCCGAGCCCATACAAATAAATAAAGAGAGCATCAATAAAGAAGGAGCATGGATCTCTTGATCAACCCATTAATTATAAGGTTTCGTATTGAACTAGCCCAAGATATGCGATGACTATGATTCTCCACGACATCATAAACCTAATCCCATATTATAATAAATCATATCTCTGGGATTAATAATATGACTTGACCACATGCACAAGCATGGAAAAGCGAAGCAATGAATTACGATTCAAGATCCGCGGAGTTGATCACCTCGAATGTTGTCTCATTACCAAGCTACTGCATACATCACTACATATATTTCGTGCAATCCAGTGATACACTTATTTTGTGTGGATTTCAAGCAAGTGATCAATCAAAACCAGCATTTTAATATTCGAACTCTGTTGTGGAAGAACAGTGAAGGAAATTCTATTTACGCTTCATAATATACCCGAATCATGGTTTATTGCAATTCTTATGACGACATGGGCCTAAAATCAAGATAGAAAAGATGTATTTATCAAGAATGGTGGCACCTGGCATCTGATTCTAGCTTTGCATTCCATGTATTCATTATTGGTTTCGTTGCTTGCAGGCCATTTCATATATATATATATATATAGTAGAGTTCGTTTTCGTGAGTAAAGGAAGGGCCTTTTATCTTGTCCGAACTCAAAACCAATGGGAGCATAGCTCTGACTGTACACGTTTGAATTAGGAACCGAATTATGGACCTAACCCCCACCCACTCTCCCTCTATTTCGAATTCAACTTTTAAACGAAGTGACTTCCACTTGCATCGCTTTCTCCCACTATTTCGAATTCAACTATTAAGAGTCTCAACAAAAAAAAAAAAAAAAAAAAAAAGGAACCCATGTCATGTGCCTAAATTGATTGCAATTAGAGCTCTTGTAGCTAATTTATTTGTGGCTAATTTCTGACCCTAGCTCGAAGCATGCATATTGGTCCAACGGCGAAAAAACAATTCACAGTTAATTCTTTGCTTTTATTTTTTTGGGGGGGCACTAAATAACAAGCATATCACTGTCTAATACCAGTATTAGAAAGAAAAAAGTAATCTTAGAAGCTCAAATAGATAGAATTACCTGATACTAAAATATTAATTTAATAAAAACAATATTTACTTTTCAATTCGAACCCATTTTCCCATGCCATGCCATGAGGTAACGGGGACATGACTTCACTGACAAAACCCATTCAACATACCAGTAACGCACTTGGGAAAATGAACACATACATATATAACATAAGTTATACCCGTCTCTATCCACATATATCTGTTTTTTTTTTGTTTTTTAAGAACAAAAATTTACTTAATTATAATTTATTCAAATAGGTAATTTTAAGAGGAAAAAAAATACAATTTACTTTATCTCTGTATTTTTATACCTCGTTTTTTAAAGGGATAAAAAGGTGGTGGAAATTAAAAAAAAAAACACGAAATAACTTCCTCCGAGCAACTTGATGATATTTTAAAGGTGTCTGTTTGCCTAGATGAATTGCAGATAGACTTCTTGCACAAGTATAAATGTCGTCACCCTAGCCTTAAACGTATATGTTTGTCTACATATACAATAGTCCAGTTGTAAGAGAAAAAAAAAGTCGGGTAGCCTTTGCTTTTACTCAATTCCTCCATCTCAAAACCACAAAAAAAAAAAAAAAACCTCAATCTTTGATATGGATGAACTGAATTATGTACTAATCCTATTAAAAATCTCAAATAAACATAGTAAAAAAGGTTGATTCACAAAAAAAAAAAAAAAAAGCTGCCTTCACACCGGTTGCTTGAGGTCTATTTCGATTTATTATTTTTTATCACTTGTTTTTTTGCTCAAGGATGATGGTGTCGGAAATCATTGACAATTAGTACTATAAGTATAATTTGTTAGGGTTCAATGATAATATTAATTGTTCACCAATAAACATGGAGTCCTGTTCCTTATTTTGTTCCCAAAGATAAAGACTAACTGAGTCGATCAAGAAATCGAGGATTTAGTTCAAAAAAAAAAGAGCAATTGGAGTTTCCCATTAACAACCTCCGCAAGTTGATTTTCTCTATGAAGCTTAACCGTTGCCCCAGGATTTATTAGCAATAATCAATCGCTAATTAAAAATCACTGTTTTAATCATCTACGTCTCGCAAAAATCCCATCTCACCCGTGGCAATTTTGCTTTAAGTAACTCCATTACAAGCATGCTTGGATCTAATTGATTAACTTGAATTTTCTTTCTGGTGGTAATTATTGAGATGTGTCCAAGCTAGCTTTTATGCAACAATATTAAATCCTTAATAATATTCTGTATCACAAGCAGGATAGCTATGGCATGCCGTGGTATCCTTGACGGAGATAATCTAATTTATCGAAGAAAAAAAAAGACATGTCTTTACCCTAAGCAAGCATCCCTTGTATCCCATTCATGAAATAGTAAATCGAGGTGAGGGAGGCCACTAAGGTTTGACTAAGTCAACAATGTGCTGTCCACAGAGCACCAAATCACAACTACCGAAGATGTTCTCTCACTCTTTTTGAAAAAAAGAAAGAAAGAAAGAACCGCGAAAACTATTTAATAGACCTCTGAACATGGAAAGTGACCTAAAACACATAACAGCAAGCACTACATGGGCCCCATCAAAATCAGCCAAAAGAACGTACGGCAAATGTTACTCCGTCCCCCCTCCCCCAATCTTTATCCACCATCTCTGCTGCTTCACGCTGAAGCAAAGATCCTTTCTACATCAGCTTAACTTTTTCTTTATTTCTTTTGTGTTAAAGCGAGTATATATTAGCTTATCGGCAGATTTCCCTCTCCGCAGAGGACCCATTGGAAATTATTAGGCTAACTAACATGATATTCTCATAGTTATTATATATTACAAGGTCCATATTTGATACGCATGGGTAGATATAGAAGGACAAAAGGGACCCATCTTAACCGAGCTTGTAGCACGAATCCAAGAATACATACAAACTTTAAAATTGTAAGCTCCCATCTACACACTCACAAGCAGCTATTAGCTCCACCCCTAGTTCAAACTTGGGCCTGCGTGTTCCCTTGGTTTGAAAATGAGCTTTAGGCACTTCACCGTTGTTAACAACAGCTAGGTATGTATATTAACAAGGCACGCTCATGCCCAGATGTGAACAAGAACTGACATGCTAACCAATTTTTAGTCAAGCCACGGTTGGATCAGTTAACCAATCCAGTCCAAAAGAAAGAGGGAGTTTACACAGGGCAAAATATACACTGCAAGCCAGCAATGGTGCAGCGAATTGCCATCTCCTTAACAAGACAAGAACGGTGCAAGAACATGATCAGTAAAACAAGTAGTGTCCAAATAAAACTTAAAAAGGTACTTTATTTCGTTATAATATTAACTTCCAAGAGATATATTATCTTAGGAGATGAAGAGTTGTGGGTTCCTCCCCTACAACCTCCAAACACCCCACCTCCGCATAAACCAACAAATTTCCCTTGCTAAAAAAACCCTTTAAACATAACTTAACCCCGTCGTTATTACAACAAAATAGCAGCAACCCCTGATCATCTACTACTACTACTACTAAATGGCTTCCTTTTGACCTTCGTCTAAAACCTAGCCCACAAAAGCTTCATTCAATCTCCCTAGCAAGAAAAAAGAAGAAAAAAGCTGGATCCCTTATTGCTCTCTTTAAGAACTAAACTCGCTCTCTTTTGCTTGTAAAAACCATAAATCCCTATAAAAACTTCTACCATCTTTACTTTGCTTTCATCATCCAAACCAAAACAAACATTATCATCATGACAGCATGAATGTCCACGACGCATGATTATTGGGTGATCTCAATATGTCCACTCCAGAGGCAGGCGTATTTCACGATTGAGTACATTCTCTTGCCGTAAATTTCTCTTCTGCTGTGCCAAAAGAGCATTTCTTCTTGCCATCAAAGCATCTACAAAATTACAGACACCCATGGTTAAAAAAAAACGAGTCGTTTTGATAGTGAATCTGAATAATCACAAGTTAGCCCAAAAAAACAGAAGGGTTAGGAAAAATAAATCAAGAAACTTGCTTACCATACTCCGAATGGAAAGATGCGTTATTATTCAGGCGTGGTTGAGCAAGACCACTGATATCCATGTCATCAAAGTTCAAATTTAGAGCTTGGACAACTTTAGCTGGCAGCAGAACTGTAGAGCAACCTGTTGATTAAGGAAGTTAACATATGATGTCATCGTCAAAATAGGAACAAGAAAAAAGTTCAAAATCAAATAGGAAGAAAAACGACAATAACAGCATTCAACTATTTACCAGATTTCTTCTTGGGCTCAGGGGGGTTGCCATATCTACGAGGCAAAAACACACCAGTGCCAGCACTCTCTCTTTTAACACCAGATCCACCAAGAAAAACAGCCCTCATGCCGGCTGAATTAGAGAGCTGATTTTGAGGGTGTACTTGAAGAGGAGGCCAAGCAGACTGAGGCAGTCCAAGCGGACGACCGCACCTCCCATCTTCATAACGAACATCTCTGCCTCTGCTCTGCACCTGTTGGTTTTGGTGTGGGTGCTGGTGGAATTGGGGCTGAGCTTGCCAGCTTGTCTTCACTTGTTGTCTTTCCCAAATTGAAGAGCACTGTTGCCTGAGTGCCTGTTGCTCTTGCCTCACAAGTTGCTGGTACTGCAAAGCAAGACAAATTAGCTTGATACAATACTTTCAATGTATCTGGACCAAAGGGTCGGTCAAGTTATGGCAGACTTCATTTTAAATTCCATTTCTTTGAAACGAAATAGAGCTCAAGAAAAAATCCGTACCTGATTAACTTGTGGAACATTGTTGCCAAAAGTAGGGCTGCTCTGAGAAGGATAAAACCCAGTATTCTGATGCTTGACTGAAGTGAGATCTGGATTTTGAATCCTGGCTGGACCCAGCAAACCCCTACCTTGAAAATTATTACTATTATTACACCTGTGGCCTTCATTATTGGTCATCTTTAATCTTGCAACTTGACCAGCAGCTGCGTATATCAGATCCCATGTGTCATTCTTGGCACCATACGGCGTCGTTGGTGGCGACAACACCCCGTTTGGACTCCCGTTGCTGGATACGGACCAGCTTCCTAGACCACTTAGAGTCGACTCCGGTGACCCAGCCATGACCCACTTGTTCTATCAAGTAAACGAAAAGACAACACCGTTAAGCTGAAACGGCATTTAAGCAGAAAAAGGAAGGGAAGCACTAGTAGTTGTAAGTACTTCATAGGAAGAGTAAGAGGAAGTGAGTTGTACCTCGGGTTTGACGGTGAGTTGCTGAGTCAGTCGCCGAGTTAACCCAGCCAGAAAGTCGTCCTCGTCACTGCTCTCTGTCTCAGTGGAGGAGCCCGTAACGGACTCCACCGGAGAACTGAGAGCTGAAGAGGAGCCAAACGAGTCAAACTCGTAAGGGAACTCGGGAGGGAAGCACAGACTTGGTTTCAGCTCAGTCTTGAAACCGTTTTTGTTAAAGTTCTCTGTGTCCATGAGTACTTCCTCCGCTGTAAGAAACTCAATAGGAAGCCAAGATTCTACGTCTTCACGAGCCACAGCCATCAATATTATGTATCTTGTTGGGACACTATAGGGATCGCTGGCGAGACGAGAGAGAGAGAGAGAAGGAGGGGGGGGTGGAGTGGGGATGGATATGAGAGTGGCTGGAAGGAGAAGATTTAAAATAATGACCAAGCAGAGGGGGATGGGTTTGCAGACTGTGAGGGACCCAACGAGAGAAAAAGAAAAGGGAGAGCACGAGAGAATAGAGAATGTAGAAGACAAGCTGCTTTTATTAAGGTTTCCGGGTCTGTTCCATACAAGATTCAAAAAAATAAATAAATAAATAAAATTACTAACTTTAATTAGGATGTGCAAACAACTGGAAGGAAAGGAATGGCCCGCTAGCTGGAGCATTTGTCCTCCTGTGCAATCCATCCCCTATTTGTTCATAATTGAACTACCAAGAACTTTAATGATTTGTTAATGTTTTGATGGCGTGAATTAGTTTAATGTGAGCAGTTAACTTATGATTGGAGTTGGGGTGTGGTTTAATAAGTGGTTCTGGCTTAATTACATTTTCACAGTGGATTATTGGATTCTGGCTATCATTCTTTTTGTTATTTGTTCATTGTTTAGAGATCTGTATATTCCGAATAGAAATTCTGGTTAAGTTTGTTTTTTAATTGTTTTTTATATATATTAAATAATATTATTTATTTTATAAAATATTTTTATATATATAAACACGTCAACTCGAAAAAAATAATTAAAAATTAAAAAAAAAACAAAACAAAACAAAATTATCTGAAGCCTCACTGAAAAGGGCTTCGAGCTCTTTTGTCTGTTTTCTCTGTTTTTAGAAAACCTGAGATTTTGTACGGTTTTAATGGATTGCCATTTGTAAGGATGTGCCTGCATGTGCCCTAGAAAAATATCAACAAGTATATAAAAACTTTGAACGAATTTTCTTCTGGTAAAGGAAATTTCTTCTTGTTTTTTATGCTATTGCATCATTCGAGAACACCTGGTTATAGGCAATCCTCATCTCAATAGGTGGCCCATGACTCAAGGTTTATTTTTTACATTATTTTTCTGAATATCTATTTTTTTAGTTTTTTTTCTTGAAAATGCTAGTTTTAAAAGTTTTTAAAAAAAATACATGAAAATTATATTTTTTATTTTTTAAATTTATTTTTAATACCAGCATAAAAACAGAGAGAAAATCACAAAACTTGAAACATAAAAACTAACCACCCAGAAGAAAATTAAAGAAAAACCTTCCAATTGTTTTTAAAATAACATTAATTGAGTGCACGTCATTTGCAATTCCATCACTGTTGTTTACTGATAGTTTGTCTGCACTTCTGAAATTCAACTGGAGATTATCCGGTACACGTGGATGGAGTGGCTTGCATGTACTGAGAGGATTATTAAATAGAAGAAAAATGATTTAATTATCTACCTTACCAAATTAGAAAAAAAAAATCGAAGAAGAAGAACTTTACTGATACCGTGACACGTAAGTGAGTTTATTTCAAGGATCTGTAAGGTAAAACAACAAATCTCAACATGCCATGGCTTAAATCATAGATGTGTATGATTAGATAGGCTTAAATCAAAACATTACGTAAACTTAAATAAAAAACAAAATAAAGTTTTTAATCTTAAATCTGATTATTATTATTATTATTATTATTAATGGAATTTGTTTGGAGCTGATTCTACTAGACATGTTTTTAAGATTGAACATTTATATGTCAAAATAATATTCGACCTGTTTTACTTTTCATGAATCACGGTAAACAAGCTCTGAATCTATCATAGTTGCATTCCATGCCATGGCGTCGTTCTCGCATGCAATGTTTCTAGAAAATCATGCACAATGAACTGAAAGCTCGACAAGGCTACCAATGTCCATTACTGCGGAGCTGAGAAGGGGAAAAAACAAAGCATCAAGCCTGGAGCAACCAAACTATATATGTTACACATCCAATTTCACCTGTTCTGTCGTGATAACGCTTGTCCCATTTTGATGATCATGCATATTCACAAGATCATGCGAAAGGCATCGAGATGATTTAATGGCCACGAGATGTCCATCCATGTCGCCATCGCATTAACCACACTTGATATCAATGTCATTGAACCCTTTCTAGCAAATCCAAATCCCACGGCTCACCTGGATCCATGGCTACAGTGGCTAGTAGTTTCTCTCTGTGAGTAGGCTTCCAAGGCCCCTTTTCTTATTCCAGAATTTCGAATTTAAAGGACCTGTTTTTGCTATTCGGGGGAAGCTACCCAAGGTCGGTTTGGTCCCAGTCAAGCTAGAATTTCGCGTCCCAGTCTCGGATAGCCGGGCTACGTGCTTGCTCTAGAAATCTCACGGTGGCGAGACCATAAACCATGTACACAGCGCAGGATTGGATTGTTCAGAGAATAAAAAAATAAAAATAAAAAGCTAGGAAAATATGACCGCTGTAAATTAGGTTCACAGGAAAATGTTACCCCGTAAATCACACTAGACACCCATTGGAGTTCAGTATTTAATATTAAATCAATTAAAGACCATGTTTACCACTATCATCTATTCATGTGCTGTAGGTTATTTTTTTAGTTTTTTATTATTTTAATGTATTAATATTAAAAATAATTTTTTTAAATAACCAAATATTATTGTAATGTATTTTTAAATAAAAATTACTTTAATAAGTAATATTCACAGCACGTAATATTCACAGCATGATAACCCTTAGTTGCATTTGTTTTTTTTATAGAGCTATTTCAATTTCATTACTCAAGTTTTGAATTTAATAAGTTATTTTGTGTTAATTTATATCAATTTAATACTCTATTGTATTAATATTTTTTTAAATATATCATTTTGAATTTTTTAATTAATTTTTTATTAGTTATTTATATTTTTTATCATTAAAATTAATCAGTTTATACTAGGTTAGTTTTTTTTATTATTAACATGTTAACAATACCTAAATAATTTTTTATATGTTAAAATACATGACATGATACGTACCTTAACGCTAGTTGATAATCTAGTAAACGACTAATCGATGCCCAGCTTCGCCTTCTGTTTGTAAAACACGGTTTTTCGGGCAATAGAACTGCTTTTGACTTCTGTCTGCATATCACAAGGAGCGTGGCATTCTCAGTCTTCAATTACTTTAATTACCTTAATTAGTCTCCCTTGTAAAAGCACAAACACAATCATTACGATGTTTCTGCATTATTTGCTATCATTGTTGCTTAACATGATCAGAACATCCAATCCTGTAGCATTCCCAGAGGTCCCTTGACTTGTTATCCCAGCTATATATTTTTTTTCCACCAAAAATCGGGAAAAGGAGATGTCTTTATCCATTTTTAGAGTCAAATTGGCAGTGAGGTCATGAGTAAACGTAAAATTCCTTGTTTCTTCAGACCATCCTTTCTCCGGCAAATCTTTTACCCAGACAATGCAGTGAAACCAGAATATGAACTCGATGGTCTAAACCTTGGATTTCCTTGTTTACTGCACTGGCTATCTTGATTAGGTTTTGCAATCTAGTTGGTCCACGCGTGTACCGAACAGTAAAAATGGGGATCAAAAGGCCTCCGAGTATTTGAATTTAAATTTGCATAATTGGAGGAATGGATTTCATCATGGGAATTGAGAACCTATCACTGGTAGAGATTTTACAGATGAAAAATTTCGCCGAGAACATCCAGGTACCTTGGATTTTACTCGAATCATAACCAATTCGCTTAACAATTGTTTGTTTCGTTCGCCGTTTAGGGGTGTTTTTACTTTCTATGCCAGTCTGACAGGTCGGCGCAGTGAACTCGATTATTTTTATTATCATTTCCATGTGCCAACTACCTCTTCAACCCAGTTACCTATCTGTCTCCATCGTCATAAATATTTCATCTTTTTTGGTGGATGATTACTTATGATCCATGCAGAGACATGAAACAATTTAAAGGATTCCTCTTTAGTGATTGCGAGCATTTGATCTCCAAACTTAGAAATCCATATACAATTTAGAATAAGCATCCCAGCAGTAGTATTTTAAATTTCTTGATGTTATTTTTTCATTTTAATTTGTAGAAAGTGTCATGGGTTGATGTATATAATTAGAAAATTAACAGGGGTAATATTTGTTATTTTGTTTTGTTTGTGGGCTGTCTTCTAATAATAAGAGTTTGTTGCACAATGTGAAATGATTTATCACTAAAATTTATAAAGACGGGAGTAAAAGCATCTCATATATATATCTTAGTAAATCTACATCAATAAAGTTTTAAATAGATTCTGAATAGATTATTGTTTACCAAATATAGTTTGACATGTTCAATTTAAATTAATGCTTGAAAAATAATCATAAAAGAAAACAAGTGAAGAACATTCTGTATACTTGTATTGCATGGAGCTTAATGTGTACTCATGTGTATACAAGATCCGACGTTGCATATGTTGCGGGTATATTGGGACATTATCAAACTAATTTAGGTATATCTCATCAAGGAGTTGTAAAGAAGGTAACGGTTTGTATTGTTTTTAAAATAAATTTTATTTGCCGTGATGTTTTCCCATATTTACGTGCACACTAGTTTATTTGAGAGGCATCATCCCTGCAGGACTAGGAATAAACACATGGTGTCCTCGATAATTAAGGTTGTCACGTATAGAACAGCACTAGAAAAACCATGAGCACTACAATACATGGAACCTAATACTCTTTATTATATGACCTGTGCATTTGTTTTCCAAGAAAGATAAAGGATCATGTTAAACTAAGATAATGGGCTAGACGTGTGAACCGAGCAGGGAAGTTTAAGGTTATGCTTTCCCCTGTTAACATGGGAATCATTTTTTTTCAAAAACTTTAGTACTTGGTTCAATAAATTAACTTTCATGTTGATATTTCATAAACCAGTGACATAAGAGTTATACAAGCAGGAGCTTAACGAGACTTTTGTTACATAAACACATGTTTTTTGTTCTTAAGCTTGCATATTGAAATACAAACTTTTACTACATCGTTAAATTTTAGTGATTCACAGCTTAAAAGTATCAAGATCTTAAAAAAAAAGGATATAAATATTTTTCATCACAGTCGTGGATTATATACTGATCTATTTATTTTTTTATTGCTAAGTTTAAATAAATTTTTTTAAAAAAACATATTTAAATCTATCCAGTATTATAAACCACCCGTAAACGTGAGATTTCTTACTCGCAATACGAAGATGACAAAAGTATCCAACATCGTAATTTATCTTTTAAAAAAAATCTTAGATTTATCGACGCAAAAAATAATTAGCTGGCATGTGGGACGAGGACCTTCCTCGTGCAAACAAAACAAAATTGAATCATCTCTCAAATATCTAACCGAATACATTTAACCTCAACCCCCATTACCCAGTGAACGTGCGAGTGTGTTTGTTATGAGTTAGTTTTTTCATATGAGGTTTATAAAACATAAATTTATATAAAAAAATTTTAGCTGTAATTTTATAAAAACAAGTGGTTAAGAGTGTGTTTGGTGCTAATATTTTGATAGTTGTTATGATTATAATTTTAATTTTTTTTAAAAAATTAATTTTAACTATATGTTATTAAAATATATGTTTGGTTAAAATTATAGTTGAAGTTGCTATTTAATAAAAAAAAATATGTCCAATATATCTGATTAAAATTATAATTAAATTTAATATTATAATAAAATAACAAAAAAAAATACATGTAGTAATTTCTTATTTTGCAGCTGTAATATAAGCCTTGTAATATACATCTCATCAAGTTTTTTGCTGCTGGCTCAAATAAAGTTTTGGAGGTGGTTTTGGTCTATTTGTTTTATTAACAATAAAAAAGAAACCAGCAATAAAAAAGAAACAAGTAAAGGAAAACGCAGGATGAGTGGTTCACTGGAAGCATATAAAAGTTGCTTTCACTAAAAACCGAGGTCAAACCTCATTTATTGGTAGGTTTCACAAACCAAACCACTGGTTTATTTTATAACTAAACAACATATAATTAAGATTGTGTAAAATCACAATAGACGCCTCCAAAATAAATGGTCCCTAAGGGGTGTTTGAAATCAAGGGTGGATTATGTTTTTTTTTTTTAAGTTATTTTTTAAAATTATTTTAATATATTAATATAAAAAATAAATATTTTTAAAATGAAACTCAATCGTATTCTCCATAAACATTAAAATTGCAGAAAGATAAATTTTTACATGTAAAATAAATAAATAAAATTTATAAATAAAAATATATTATTTTATTTTTTATAGATAAACATTTAAAATAAAATTATTTTCAAAGGTGAAAAGATAAAATTTATTTAACTACTCAAACAATTTTTTCTTTAAAAAAAGGTACACACGGCACCAGATTGCATGAGCTGTAAAACTGTGATTAGCTTTACAATTCACAGTTTTTGGATGGCCTTATCCTTGCAATGGCCTGATGTTGACTGTCATGGATATCCCGTGACTTGTTTAGTGAGCAGAGCATTGCCCTTCATGAGTTACATTGGAATCTGAATCTCTGGTGACGTGGCCGCTTTACAAGATTCGGCAGCTTATCTGTCATCTATCCCACCATATCCGGCTGTCCCTCCAGTTTTCCCGCCTCTTTTAACGGCTGTCTCTTTCAGCCGGTTTTTCCGTCACAACACGATATTTAAAAATAAATATTTTCGTGAAAAATAAATATCTCAGATATTTATGCCTGACCTGCCTGTGAATGAGCTGCCGAGCTTTTCTCACATGTTACAGACTTTCCAACACTTCATATTATTTATTTTACTCAAAAAACCATTTGAAACGGTTTATTTATATTTCAATTAGAAGCTATTTAATAAAAAGATAGTTTAAAAATAAAATGATGAAAAAATAAATCCAAGTTATCATTTTCTCTATTTAAACAAATACAATACTCGTAAACAAATAAATATCACTACCTTGTTTTATAACTATTCGCAAATTGCATGTTGCAATTATTATTATTTTTTATTAAAATTAAATATGATTGGAATTTAATGCTAAGAACATGTTTCATTGGACCGGTGTTATCATGAATTGTATTTAGCAATTCTGGATATACTAATTAAGTTTCAAGCCACATGTATTTACGATCTTTAAATTTATATAAAAGCAAGTATTTTTCTTCTTCTTATTTATGATGAAATGAAGAGATAACAGCGTTAAAACTGCCGTTTGCTTCCACATAATCCAGAAGGCCAGTCAGGAATCGGAGGTCACGAGTTCTATGAATCGCAATTTATAATTTTCCCGCCAAAGGTGGATACGGTTAAGAAAAAAAACAAAGATAATAACTTGATATAAAATTTTATAAAAATATAATGGTTAAAAATGATAATTAATATTTAATATTAAAAGAATAAAATTTATTTGAAATTATATTATTTTTTAATCGATGTTAATTTCTTTTAAAAATTTTACCAGAATTATTAGAATGACAAAATACCAGGAATTTCAATGGGGGAAACAAAAGGAGGGCAAGGCGGTGGTAGTTGCCAGTTGGCGCCGAAAAGCACATCACTGTTAAGTCAAAAATACCGGAAAATGATTTTCTCTCCTTTTGAAAAATAATTATAGAAAGTCAAAAGGAAAAAAAAAACTATAAACCTTGATTTGATATTTTGATTTGACGTGGAATGCCAGTGGAGATATTTTCTTGCCTTTTGCTTTTACAATTTATGGTGAATCTTTGCACAGCTTTGTTTTAAAATGAATTTTAAAAGCATGTTTGTTTTCAAAAAAATATTAGATTATTATTTTTTATAGTTTATTTTTTTATTGTAATGGTATAATGTTAAAAATAAAAAAATAGTTTTATAAAAATACTCTTGCTCCAATAACAAAAATACATTTTAAAATTTTAAAATGTATTTGTTTAAAAATATGATAACAGTTATCTCTAAAATGTTTTTTATATTAAAATATATTAAAATTATTTTTTTATTTTAAAAAATTATTTAAAATCAGTGTATAAAAATAATTTTTAATAAAATATATTAATTTTTTTAAAATATATTTTAAACTGCATTTTCAGACATTCTTATAAACGTACACCTGATGACGTTAGAAACTTGAATTTTTTGTTCTGTAGGGATAATATTGTATTTTAGGTAGCTGGCACGGGCTGCTGCTGCCTTTTACAATCCATGCTTGGGTGGGCTGGTCACAGCACATTGAAAGAACAAATCTGTTTTCCACCCGCGACGACGCGCGTGGCAAGAATAGCTATATTAAAATGTAGGAGAAAGATAAAGACAAACATCGGATGACTCCCCAGTATATCCACCAATTCCTTGTTGACAGCCAATATTTATAAGATTCTCAATAAATCTCTAAAGTATTGCAGAGTCCTGATTTGACTACTCCAGTGCAATTCCTTTGATATCTTCTCTGATTTACTGGGATAGAATGATGCTATATTGAAGATAGTTAAACCTTTCACGTTAAAGGTTTCTCGTGATTGTGAATATGAGGACATAAATGAAAAACTTTTGATACATTTAGAATGAAGTTGAGAATAGTATAAGCCATTCAATAATTTAAAATATTGTTTCCTTCCAAAAAATAACATACAAGCAGATTTAAGAGCTTATCTAATTCTCAAGTTCCATCTAATAAAATACAAATTATAATTATGGCATTTTAAGTTTTTAACACAGCCATCTAGATGCACATCCTCTTTTGAAAAGTTAAAAGAAATAACTATTCTTTTTTTTATACTTCTAACAAAATAAAATAATATTAGTTTAATAAACATGATATATCTAAAATACTTGATATGAATATTACGACAAGTCAAAAATAGTATAAATCTATTAAAAATATCATAATTAAAGCACTCGAATTTGACAACCACGCAAATTCAAAACAAGAAGAGTTTAGCAAGGCATTCAAATTTGATAATTAGCCATATTTATTGTATTTTAACTTAGTAACTAGCCAAATCTAATATAATATAGATCTAACAAACATGTTAAATCAAAAATATTTGGAAAAGTCCTCGAAAACCCATGTCAAGTAAACATGACAGAACCAAAATAATTGATTACGCAGTTAACCAAGTGTACCATATTCCATTTTAATATTAATATAATTTTAATAAATATTTATTTTTGATTAAATATTATAAGGATAAGATACAAACTTTATATCCATAAAAGTTTTTCACAAACTTATTATATTTTTATTAAATATTAATAAAAATATAAGAAATATTCAAATAGTAAGAAGATAAAATCACATTCGAGATTTTTTGTTAAAAAAATTATTAATTATAAATACACACTACCAGATCCTAATCAATGTTCTATGAGGCTGCGTTTAGCCACATGCTGCATTTGTAACGCAGTGTATGCATCTCGATTCTCACAATCAATTTTTTTTAAATTCTTAATAAATCTCATAATAAAATGGTATCCTCGGATTTATTAAGTGGAAAATTGGAGCACTAAATAGCTAGTGCTTGACAAACTCCTTGTAACCAGCGCGTACGAACATAAGAAAGAGAACTGAGTGGGTGGGGCTATGCTTGCCGGGCTAAAGAGTGCGTTCGTCACTGTATTTTAAAAGTAATTTTAAAAAATTTTATTTTTTTAAATTAATAGATTTTTAATATTTTTAAATATAATAATCTCAAAAATAATTTTTTAAGAATAAAAAATATTATTAATATATTTTTTTAATAAAAATATTTTTTTGAAAATTATAAATAAACCCCCACACATGCCCACGAAATCAGCTTCTCATCACTCCCGTTGTAGCTAATATATAATTATAGAAAATCCATAATAATAACAATAATTTGCTTAATTAGCTTTATTAATAATGTGACATGCAAAAGGGAAAGGTAGAGGCTAACCTTTGCTTGATGTTTCAGCAAAAGATTTTTTGAATCTCCCGCCGAAAGACAGAGAGAGACCTAACTCATAATCAAACGTCACCATCAAAACTAGTCCATAGGACAGGACAGATATTATAATTATAAATAATTCTGCACCTAATAAAATTACATAGTAAATAGTTACCGGCCTTCTTTATTAATCTTGTCACTTTTGGTTGGATTGCTCGTGGAAGTATGCCGCCTTCTTGTAGTTCGAATTTTGAACTCAACGGCCAGTCTTGTTCAGCAGCCGGACCCCGCGATCTCCCTGGCCTGTGAGAAAATTTTGTACGATCCCGGTTTATGAACAACGGGACACCTGCACGTGATATCCTCGCGCGTGAGGTTCACATTCTTGTCATCTGGGCTGAGAACATTGTCGACAATCCGTGTAAAAAGGACCTGATTGGAACATCTTTTAAACTGGAGAGGCTACAATACACTAGAAGGAATTGGTATTGCCCGGGAAAAAAAAACAAACAGAGATGGACACCAACATGTGTCAAATGATGGTGCGGGTGGTGTGGGTGGCTCGTATTAATGCAGGGGACCTTGAGCGAGTACTGGCTAGCTAGTCTCTAGTTTCGTGCTGAAAAATATGGGCAGGTCAGCTTCCATCACCAAACTAGAACCAATGTATTGATGGGTGTCTGTTATTTGTTTCCTAGGTGTCCTAATGTCCTTTATTGATGAATAGAGATCCACAGAGGTAAAAGAGAGCGTCGCCGCATCTAATCGCAACTGTTTATCAGTTGATTATTGGTAAGGTTTCAAGGCGACCAGCGATCTCTGATCTTGTCTTTGGGATTTTGCCACCTATTTTCAAGATTTTGAAGATTGATGTGGGCCCATGTACACAGGCATCGGATACCATTGGATTTTGGATGAAAGTGATGCTGGAAAAAAGAAGAAGAAGATAAAACTAATGGTAAGTTTCGTAGCATAAAGAGGGTCACATGGGGAATATCAAATTGGGTAGTCAACGGTCAAATCCTCGAAGGAAGAGCAACCTGTGGGCTGTTTTTTTGTTTTTTTTTAAAAAAAAAACATTATTTAATTTTTTAACTTGTTTGGAAGTTTTGTAATTGGAGTTTGTCAAAAGTTTTCATTTTAAATGTATTTAAATATTTTTTTTATTTTTTATTAATTTATTAAAATAATAATAAAATATTAATTTAAAATTATAAAAATTCAATGTTTTTTTAAAAGTATATTCTAATATTTGGATTATAATATTAACAGGTATTAAATGGTGCTTTGGTTAATGGTATCTATTGTTTTTTAAAATATTTTTTATTTAAAAAAGTATTTAAATAATTTTTATTTATTTAAAAAAATAAATATAATAACTGAAATTTTTATTATAATAACTAAAACTTTTAGTTTTTCTAAAGTTTTTATTTTGAAATGTATTCAAATATAATTTCTAAAACTAAAGGAAAAAAAGAACAAACATATACCTTTTATGTAAAAAAAATAAAAATTAAATAAAAATTAAAACAATTATCAGTTATAAATCACTTATCATTCGTCTTCACGCGCTATGTTAGGAAGAGGACAGAGTAAAAGACTAAATTTAACAATTAGAAGGTGTCCTGTGTACCATTAAAAAAGCATCAAAACAACCCACACGTTAATAGTTATTAAGTGTAAAGGAATAAAAATTTAACATAAAATTACCAATATATCCCTCACAATCTAAAAAATCACAAATAAACTCATATGAAAGGATAAAAACAAAAATGAATATCTAATTTTCCTTTTAATCTTTTCTAAAGGCAAGATGTTTTTCAACTGTAGCCTAACAGGGGAAAAACCAAAAAAACACCTGGTTAGCAACTGTAGTTTCTTTTTCTTTTTTTACCTCAAAGATTGTATTTTTACTGTTTTAAAATTTGTGAAAAAATAAGTTTTAAATTTTGTTGAGTCAAGTTAAAAGCATAATTTTATTTTGCAAAAAATTTAAAAAACACAAAAACCCTCAAACTATAAACTTATAGCAATCTATAATAAATCGGGTCTCATGCTATATTAAAAGGCATTTACGCTGTATATTTTGTTAAATGTCTGAAATTATCCCTCCGGGGAGATGGCTCAAAGCCATGATGGACCGTGAAAATCACCCGAATATCTAAGACTCAAACAAAGCTCGCATCCATTAGTTTGCCACCGGGGCTCGAGTTTATTTTGGATCCTAGCAGCTCTAATGACTCAACATGTTCAAAACGGATAAGAGACTCACTAGGATTACATGTACAAATCGAACCCCAAACGAGCTTGTACATGATCTGGGGTTGGTTGCTAAATCGAAATGTATTGCCCTACGATCGAACTTGATCTCCTCAGGACTAATCATAAGAATTAAAATTACATAACAATCTAGGTGGTGGTCAAATAATAAAGACTTGGAACTAAGAGATTTGCTCACTCTGTGGTCTCAGGTTCGAGTCCTTGGTTGCTTATATGATAGCCACTGGAGGCTTACATGGTCGTTAACTTCAGGGTCCGTGGGATTAGTCGTGGTGCGCGCAAGCTGGCTCGGACACCCACGTTAATCTAAATAAAAAAAAAAAGAATTAGAATTACATGCATTAAATTAGTTTACATTCCTTTATCTCATGTGAATGGTCCTGTTATCATCACCAAATGTACACAATCCATGAAACCAAAACTAGAATAGCTTTTGTAAATGGGAAACACATTAAACATTCTGCTCTTTCGTAAATACACTCACACGAGATCCAACCGTTCTGCTTCACACCCATGTGAGTTCAAGACTTTATTTATAGCTTTAAACCCAAGGAAAGTGAGGATCTTTTAATAGAAAAAGAAAACGACCTCGTATTCTTTCTTTTGCCCATGTCTAAATATTCTACAACTAAATATACATGTACACATCCTCACGTGTACATGACCTTTTATCTCTTGTCTAAATAGGCTTAGACATAGGAAAATTAATCCGTAACCCTTTACGTACGAAGACTTGTTTTGGAGTGTTATGGCAATCCAAACTTAGTCTATCATGTCTTCTAACCCACAATAGCCTTCGGAAGACCATTAACTATAATTGCGCATCTACGCTGAATTGGGACCTCATTCTAATCAAGCCAGAAAAAGTTGAGTAATATGAGAGAATGTTGCGTGGATGTCTCCACCTTTTGTTGCATGATTTATGTGCTTCCGAACATAATGTTCAGAGAGATTTCCTGTATGCTTCCTTCTTTACTTCGTGTACCTTCGAATGGCCATAGGTCCGCCGTGAACTAAGTTAAAAGGGAACGAACAATCTGGGGAGACGGCGCCATCTGGTGTCTTATCGACCTGAGGATAAGCCTCGTGTTCCGCTCGTATTATTTCCAAAAGGATTAGCTTGAACCAACTTAAGCCACGCGAGTGACACTCGACGAGATAAAAAAGATGATTGATTAGAAGAGAAGAGTAACAGTCCAGAGCAGGTTTCCATAGGCGTCCTAGAGTAATCTCCACCTTGAGCCGGTAGAGTTCTAATTTAATGCACACGTGTCGAAGAGTGACGAATAAGAATGGGGGTCACAAAACGTGGCCAAGAAAGGTGGCATCTGTCAGGCGCCATTTACATAACACTAAGAACAAGGAAGACTGATTTAAGAAACAGGATTCATGAGGAGAGAGTCCCACACATAGCAACACTACAATCAGCTCTCAAGGCACTTTAGGTATAGATTGTCAGCGAATCACTTAAACTTGAAGGCTATATTATTGTAGTCTTGTAAGCAAATTGGTCTCATCATGAATATAAATGCCTTTATATTTGTAACGTGAAGTACAATCAATTCGTGTTTATGTTTCATTAACCATACTCCTTTTTCGTCATTAGTTTAGAACTTAGCTTCTTAATCTCCTCATCTAAACTCTCTTGTAAGAATCAATCCTATTAAATCACCTTGCGTTGGATTCAAACAAAACACAAGACAACATCGCCCTATGTTTTGATCTCCAACATATGATAATTTTAAATTCGATAAAAAAAAAACAGCTCCTCTAAACTTACTGCCACGCAAGGTTTCTCAAATTAAGGATCCAATTCCAGAGACCGCGAGTGACCTAGAAAGAATTGCTTGTGACATAAAATGAGAACAGCTGTTTGTTCTATGTACGAAATTACTATTAAATTCGCTAGTTAAAATAACAATTTCATATTGTTTTAGAACAAACTACTTCCCTAGGAGTGGTATCGGCTTGACCCACATGGGAGAAAAAAATAAAAATAAAGAACAAACACTACAAGAGAAAGTGCATTTTGTTAGCTTCTAAATCCACATGAAAGCGAAGACGGAGACAAATAATGACACAATTACCAGGTATAATAATATATTTCCAAACAAGTTATGGGGTTTGCATAGGGAGAGACATGTCGCCTTGTTCTGCGAAAAAGAGCTCAGTATGTCGGGTGCTTTGTTTTGGGAGGAGCTTCGTGGATCTTGTCGTCCCCTAGATTCATCTTCGCATCAGCATTTTGACTCGACTCCACCTTCCATGTGTCGGTGTATATATCATCCCCCCCCCCCCTCTCCACATCACGACGACAATAATTTCATTTTGCTTGTCTGTTTAGTAACCCTTATACGAATTTCATCATTGCGGATTAAGACAGAAGAAGTTTATGCGGCTGAACTCATGACCCAAAAACTCGACCCCTCGTCAAAAAAATCGACACACCGATCTCCCAAACATGACATTGCTAGTCCATAAAATCACCCGTGCTCAACAACCTTATAATTGCTTATTTACAAAGAATGGGGAAAACCTGGTTTTGTTCACCATAACTTAATCCTAATCATGTTAGGTCATTCTATTTATTGGATTGACGATGAACTACTTTGGGTTTTCAAGAAAAACTCGTGTTCGTTGGCTGGGAGTCGTGCTGAAACTTTAATTGTTAGGTGATATTCGTGGCATTCTATTGCCATGCATGTGCCCTGGCTTGTCTCGTTTGTTAATAGATTGAGTTTATTTAACAAGAAGCATAAGCTTATTTATTCCTAATTATCCATCTGAATTCACCTTCTTTTATGCATACTAGCCAACTAGAAGTCTAACCTTTGGATGGTTCATAACTGCACCGTGCACCAAACTTGCATGTCGATTTACATGCGCAACCAATGCATTTAAGCCCGTCACGAGCTCTCAAAGAAGATGGTCACAAATATCGCATTTAAGGCCAGCACGCACTTCCTAGCTGAATTCTCCACAAGAGTAATTCCCATGCCGAAAATGTATACATTTAATACTGAGCACAGAAATTCATGAATAAGAAGTTGAGTACCGAAGCATGTGGTAAAATGCTAGCTCAAGCTGTTTGGGGAACTAGCAAGCAACGTCAAGAAACGAAAAGGGCGAACCCGCAAGCTACAAAACCCAGTTTCATCCAGTTCGGACTTCTTGAATTTTGGAGAATAGTCACGTCCAAACTGTTTTAAACCCATCACAAGTCATAGTAAATAAGTACACGATTAGCACCCACGGCATTGGCCCAGCGGTGGTAGGCGTCTTGCGCCTTCTACTGCCCAGGGTTCGAGCCCTGGAGTTGCATGCCTGTCAGTCCCGCGCTGCCTTACCTGCCTGCTGGGTTTGCAGGGTGTTCAGTGGGTCGTGGGAATTAGTCGTGGTGCGCGTAAGCTGCCCGGACACCCCACGTAAATCAAAAAAAAAAATAAAAAAAAAATAAGTACACGATTAGAAACTAGGGCTTGGCCTAGCGGTGGAAGGGGCTTGTCTCCTTCCACTGCACCTGAGTTCAAGCCCTAGCGTGCACGCTTGTCACCCCCGCGGTGCCTTACATGCCTACTGGATTTGCAGGATATTTAGTGGGCCGTGGGGATTAGTCGTGGTGCGCGCAAGCTGGCCCGGACACCCCACGTAAATAAAAAAAAAATAAATAAAAAAATAAAAATAAAAAAATAAAATAAAATAAGTACACGATTAACTATCTATATGGTGGCCAAGTGGTAAAGATTTGGGACTAAGGGGTTTGCTCTCTCTGTGGTTTTAGGTTCGAGTCCTTAGTTGCTCATATGATGGCCACTGGAAGCTTATATGGTCGTTAACTTCAGGGCCCGTGGGATTAGTCGTATTGCACGCAAGCTGGCCCAGACATCCACGTTAATCTAAAAAAAAATAAGTGCACGATTACCAAGCAGGTTGTGGCTCAATGGTGTAGGCGCTGCTTTTCTTCTTTCGAACTTTGGTTCGAGTCTCAATGGCAATAGGGCTGGAAAGTAGTTTTTTTTGTGTCTCTACTGAGTCCTCTTTATGTGGTACGCCTGTCATCCCCGCGGTGTCTTACCTGTTCACTGGGCTTGCAGGATGTTCAGTGGGCTGTGGGATTAGTCGTGGTGCGCGCAAACTGACCCGGACACCCACGTTAATTAAAAAAAATAAAAATAAGTACACGATTAACGAAATAGAAGGGGGCATCAGGTAGGAATTTTTCTAAATTACAAAATGGAATCATGGGTTAAGATAATGAGAAGCTTCTGGGATTTAAATTATCCAGCCAAGCATACATGAATAACATCCATGCTTAAAATATAGCTTGAAAAAAATATTTATGAACAAATGCAAGAAATCAAGAGCAAACTATTAGTTTCTTTATGCTCATGTTATACACACGTATAATAATATACATGGAGCCAATCCGAAGCAAGGAAAATCATCAAATGCAAGCTCTTTCGCTCATTGTATTCTGCAGGAAGATCCGAATGGAAAAATCAACAGCAAAAGGTGATAATGAGCAAACTGGTGATGAAATTGCTTTTTGGAACAAGAAGTTTGTTTTGTCTGCTTCAGACTCCTTCAACTTCTATGTTTAAAATGGGCTCAAGGTAACCACAAACAATTACATGCTCCAAAACACTAGTGGATATCACTTTATATAAAATATATGATAGCAGATTCACTTTTTAGTTTTTGAAATGATACTAGTAGCTCAATTACAATGCTAGAGTTAAAAGAGCAGAGCTATAAAACTTGATGAATTGGATTTCCATGATCTTATCACAGGAGAGTAGAAGCAAGGACTCGCAAGGTTCTAGATTAAAGACTTGAGACTGATCACTTGAAAAGCTAGCATGCTCAAAGGGAGTTTCTGAATTTTCTTTAGAGACCCTCTTTGGCTGGGATGATGAATTAACTCTATATCTTCAAATGCATGCACAAGACAAGATATTTGATTATGTTTGTTCATCAGAAGATCTCCTTCGGTGCCAAAGGATTCGCGTGCTTCTTGATGGCATTTTGACGATATCCTCTCATATTTCCTGCATTCAAATTTATTGCTCAATCATAAAGTCAGTAGGAAGCACACAATTTCAAATTTACAAAAATGTAAAAGTAGAGTTTCAATAGCTCTACCAGATCATAAATGACCAGGAATCAGGATTATAGCTCTAATTTCATGATCTAGCTGAACAGGGTCAAAACCCAGAGATACCAGACACTAATTTATAAAATCACGAA